GAACGAGGGGAGAGACAGTCGTCGTGGCGCCCTGCGAAAAGAGAAAATAAAGGGCCATCGCGAATTTCCATCGTAAAAGATTTTTTCGCCTTTCGAACTGCTCCATTCTCTTCTCTTACGAGATCTACTTTGTTAAACTGTAAATAAAGGATAAGAGACGTCGCGTCGGTGTAGCATAAATAAGGCATTTTTCTAAAAGCGTAAGATCGATACGCTTTAATCGTCCCGGAGAGATCTACTTTTGTCACAGCTTCGTAAACAGATACCATGAATATTTATTCCAATCGGTGCAAACTCGATTATGTAAATATTAACCACTACGCGTTGTTAATCACGTTAACTTCCTTTTGAAGTCGATAATTAAGAATTTCTAAGAGGAGGAAACTCGAGAAATTCGTTGAAATTTCTGTTAAACAGAACAGCCGATTATGGCAATCGATAGAAAATTTCAGTCAACTAGCTCGTCGAGCTGGCTCGTAAAGAGAGACGTATTATGCCTCCAACGACGTATCCAGTAACCGGTCTCTCTAAACGCACTACGCTTGAAAAATAATCGAACCGTTGCGTTGCAAAAATAAACCATCGCCTCGGTGAAAGGCTGCTGAACTGCCAGTGGAAATACCGGTAGAGTTACTGCAAAATCGCCGCGATATTCTTTCCTGCATCATTCAAAACAAACATCGCGAAATTTTTCTGTATTTTACGGTTATTTACGGATTATTCACTCTGTTCGCTAATATGGAGTTCTTCGAAATACTCTTTCAAGACCTTTTACTTATACAGAGTGTCACACAATTAGTGTAGCTTCAATGGGGAGGTGGTTGACGTGATTTTGAATAACATTTTCCTTTACGAAAATTGGATATGTAGCTCCGTTTCTGAATTATTGAGGAAAAACAGTCAGAGCGCGAGTACGCATGCGCAGCTTCGAACTTACCGACTGCGCAGACGCGTACGCTTCGAACCTAGCGGCTGCGCATGCGCAATCGCGCTCTGATTGGTCCGTGTTTTTGCTTAATAATTCGAAAACGGTGCTTCATATCCAATTTTTGTAAAGAGAAATTTTATTCAAAATCGCATTAGCTACCATTTTATGGACTTACATTAATTGTGAGACAACCTGTAGAGGCAATCTACTTAGTTTGAAAGCAACACTGTAGTTCCTTGCACTATGATTCCGCATATGCATTAATCAGAACATAGCTGAAATATTACAACAGAAGAAAGAAACTTGAAATGTTATATGACTATAATATTATACAATCGACTCTACAAATTAAATTCCAAATTAAAACTAAATTGATCATAAATATAAAATTGACCACATCAGTCAAGCACGTCAAATCGGAAAACAATAAAATTCGTGCAAAATTAAGATTCCGCTATTTGAACACCCGAGAGTATCGATCGCCCCGTGTTTAGCTGAGTTACCGCGATTACCAGTCTAGGAAAATTGAACGGTGAAGATTGAAAACAAACAGCGGTCTCGAGTGGCTGGCGATATTCGTATAAAACACTCCTTGTTTCTAACGAGGCACAAATTGAAACAGTCTGGGTAGTTCGTCATGGGGGGGACTCTTGGTGAGACTCGATACGGGAATATTTGCTGGAGGTAATTGTCGGTCGGTTTAGAACGTTATCGATCAGGAAATAATTCGTAGTTCTTATCTAAAATTTGTTGGAGCCGGGAATCAAGAAATTTGTAAGTTTAAACACTTTCATTTAGCTATTTTCACCTCGGGATCTATTTCGAACTGGGCCGATCACGGATGCATCATTTGGCGAAGTGCCAGTTCCTCTACGCCGGTATGTCTATAATAAGAATGGGATTATCAAGATGTTGCGATACATTAATTTCCGAGATCGCGGGCCATTATTCCGTGCCATCTTTATGTAATTCGACCCATTTCGATCGTCGAGAGATTATCGACAGCGTGTTGGGCGAAAAACCGATAGTCCGAACGGTCGATGTTCCCCAATTAATTCCGGAAGTCGAATGGTCGCGTTTGAAAGCGATCGATGAATCGCGATGGGAACAAAGAATCTTTCGCCGTTTCAGCGAGCATGCTCCAAAGATAATGCCGCGAATCGCGAGTCGCGAATGCGGAATCCGGAATCGCAGCCCTTATCGGTGACGCGCGAACCGACAAACAATGGCGGCGGACAATGCCGGCGATCGATGACAACGGATTTCGGTGGCTGTCGCTTTCTCCGAGCAAACCAGTCTGCCCCGTTTCTCGCGTTCCCGGCGTTCCCCGATGTACCCGCTAATTAGCGCCATCCCGCACACCCTCCACGACCGAATACACCTGAACGCGACTCTTTCCCGTGCGATTCGTTTGATCAACGATCGATGCCCCTCCTTTAATCGTACGCGCGAAAATAACGAGCACTAGCATTGTGATTTCGCAGAAGCTACAGGAATAATTCCGCGATAACTGGGTCAGGGATCATCCCTCGAAGACGATGAAATTTCCCGGAGAAACTCGGCCCGTTTTCGCGGAATAATCCGGCAAATAATTTCCCCATTAGCCGGTTAATTCGGAGTCCGAGCGGAATTTGCATACTACCGCGATATCCGAGTTCCTTCGATCCGCGAATAACTACGTTGAAAAACAACGTATCTTCCGTCGGCAAAAACACGCTCGAAACGCCCGCGGGTTGTCTGCCGTATCGATTCGCCAGCGATCATTGTCGTTTCGGAATGGAATTCCGTTACAGTTTTAACGCGATATCGTCCGAACGAGACAATGAACCGAGATCAGCCCCGGAGCGTTGCCTAGCGAGCAGTTCCTCCCGATAACGATTCCCGGTTTTTTCCACCGCTATCGATCTTTCGTTTTGCCTCTCTCGAAACTCGCTAACGATTTCTGTCTTTTCGTCGGCCCATTTTTCGACTAATCGAAGCTGGGAGTAACGAGCAGGTACGCAAAGGAAAAAGTTTACGCGCGTCGGCTAGCTGCGGACGAGTAGGATGAAAGGTACGCGGAGAAAAGAAGCGGGCTTGAAAGCGCGACGACCGGCCGGGGAAGAAGCGGGCGAAACGCGGCGGAAAGGAGAGATAGGGGGCAGAAAAGAACGATGCGGAAGAAAGAAAAGGGGGGACGGAGAGAGAGAAACAAACCGATAGGGAAGGGTAGAAACAGGGTGAAAGAGTCTGGGAGTCCATTAACGAGTGCCGTTTTCATACCTCTTCTATGCCACCCACCTCTCTTTCTCTTCCTTTTCTCGCTCTTCTCCCCGCGTCTCGCCGTTTGAAAGAGCACCTACCAGCACAATAGATCGTTCATTACCGATACACCGGCTGCCGTGGCCGTTGAGACGCGAACCGCGCCGAAAGTAGAAAGATAATAACGCGAGAAAGGAGCGTCGAGGTTTTTCCGCGCGAAAAACGTACCTCGCGACGATTCGGGTTACGGGGTTTTCGATCGTTTAACGGGGGCAATACATTATAACCTGATATTTCTGAATTTTTTTTGATAGGACATTTTCGAAATTTCAGGTATAATTTATTATGACTATTGCCTATTACAGAATATTTTACAGAAGATTCTAAAGGTATTGCCCCCCTTAAGTCACGCAAGATTATTACTGAACCATAGGTGCGTCATATGTGAACTGTAGGTGCGTCAAGTCTGAACTATAGATGCGTCACATATGCACCATAGGTGCGTCATGTGTGAACTATAGGTGCGTCAAGTCTGAACTATAGATGCGTCATATATGCAACAGAGGTGCGTCACATATGAAATGGCAGTCCGTCACATATAAACCGTAGGTGCATCATATGTGAATCATAGGTCTGTCATATGTGAACTGTAGGTACGTCACGTCTGAACCATAGGTGCGTCATATATGAACCATAGGTGTGTCATATGTGAACTGTAGGTACGTCAGGTTTGAACTATAGATACTTCACATATGAACCATAGGTGTGTCATATGTGAACTGTAAATGCATTATGCGTCACATATGCACCATAGGTGCGTCATGTGTGAACTATAAGTGCGTCAAGTCTGAACTATAGATACGTCACATATGAACCATAGGTGTGTCATATGTGAACTGTAAGTTCGTCCCGTCTGAACCATAGATGCGTCATATGTGAACCATAGGTGTGTCACATGTGAACTGTAGTTACGTCAGGTTTGAACTATAGATACGTCACATATGAACCATAGGTGTGTCATATGTGAACTATAAGTGCATTACATCTGAACTATAGATATGTCACATATGAACCATAGGTGCGTCATGTGTGAACTATAAGTGCGTCAAGTCTGAACTATAGATACGTCACATATGAACCATAGGTGTGTCATATGTGAACTATATGTGCGTTAAGTCTGAACTATACATACGTCACATATGAACCATAGGTGTGTCATATGTAAACTGTAAGTGCATTACGTCTGAACCATAGGTGCGTCATATGTGAACTATAGGTGTGTCATATGTGAACTGTAGTTACGTCAGGTTTGAACTATAGATACGTCACATATGAACCATACGTGCGTCATATGTGAACCATGTCATATGTGAACTGTAGATACGTAATAATTAATTCAGATAAAAAACAATATTTTATCTGAAAACCTCCCCTATAAAACACGTCAATACTGTGAGAACGAATGGATTTACAGAGCGTTCTAACACCGATTAAAGTTGTGGTTCGTACACTCGTCACTAGACGGCGCATGAGACTTGACTCTCTCGCTAGTACTCGAGGAGCAACTCTACACAATACGTAACTTTTGCATCCTCCTACAGTAACTTCTTAAATTTAAAGAAAACTAGCACCATCTATTAAAACAATGTTGTCTGCAAACCTCCCGAAACACGACAATCATTATTGCGAGAAGGAATAGATTACTCTAACACTTGAAAATTTTGAGACAATATTTGTAAGATGTTACACTAACATTTTATAGAAAAAAAAATTGTGTAATTTGTTAAGATTCTAAAGGTATTGCCCCCGTTAACGACGCCTCTCGTTTCAGTGGCGCGTCACGGCTACGAAGAGTACCGGAAGTGACAGGATAGGACAAAGGCTGTCGTGACCATCATCGATGGCAGCCGCGAGCTTTCCTCCAAACTTTTCGAACGTCGGCATCCTGGAGAACTGGTAAGCGATCCTGTCGTAGCTTGTATCTGTCACGCCTTGGAATTAAGTATTACTAGAAGCCTCTTATAAAAGTCTCGACGGCGGTCGAGTGGCAGCCTAATGGAAATCCGTGCACTCGCCATGGTTCCAAAATCGCGAAAAACAACGAAGATCTACGGAAGCGTACGCCGCGTATTTCTACGTTAGCCAACGGTGATAGGGGAAGGGTAACGGTGACGGATAACCGAGGCGATTGCACGCTCCGACGTACGAGCGAACCCGTAGTCTCCCGTTGGAAGCTTCGTTCCGGATTGTTTAGAATCGAAACTCTAGATATATATACGTACTCTCTCTCTACGTACGTAGTTGCATGCTGTCCGTGTGTACGTATCGCCAGAGAACGCAAATATCGCCCAAAGGAATCTCGATCCGCGGATTCGAAGTCGCCATTGTCGAGGCGAACGCTCGCGAACTTTCAATCCGTAAAGTCTCCTACGGAAAGGACGTCACCGTGCGAATAATGGCCCAAAGAAAGCGGCTACGAGGCATTGTTGCCTTCAAAGAAGACGAAATACGGTCGCACCGTAATTGGCGCCACGAATTTTGGCCCGCGAGTCTTTTATCCGGGATCCCGCGAAGATGCCGCCATTTATACACCATCGCTTCAAATACTTGAGAGTCTCGGACAACAGAATTTACAACCCGATGCGTATAAAATCTTGCGAGAAAAAGTAGGTCTCCAGGTTTTGATTAAAACACCCCTTTCAGGATGGTCGCAATTTTGCAAACACCGTGTCTTTTCTTTTATTTTTTTTCTGTTACGATCTTTGTTCGCGACTGCACATACCATGGATGCTTCGGAAGATGCTTTAGAAGATCTCGCGTATACCTATTAGGGTGAAATCACTATCGGTCTGATTCACACTAGTCTTCCTTTGGAAGATTTCGCGTATATACATTTGGATGAGGTCATATATGGGTCTCTAGAGTCACATATCCTCACACTAGTTCGGTAACGAAAAAATTTGAGGAATTTGAGGAAATTGGGAAATTATGAAGTGGGAAATTGGGAATTAGGGAGATTTGGAATTGGAGAAATTGGGAATTGGGGAGATTTGGAATTGGAGAAATTGGGAATTGGAGAAATTGGGAATTGGAGGAATTGGGAATTGGAGGAATGTGGGAAATGGGTAATGTGGGAATTGGGGAATGTGGGAATTGGGGAATGTGGGAATTGGGGAATGCGGGAATTGGGGATTGTGGGAATTGGGGAAATTGGAGATTGGGGAAAGTGGAGATTGGGGAAAGTGGAGATTGGGGAAATTGGGAATTGGGAAAATTGGGAATTGGGAAAATTGGGAATTGGGGAATGTAGGAATTGGGGAATGTGGGAATTGGGGAATGTGGGAATTGGGGAAATTGGAGATTGGGAAAATTTGGAATTGAGGAAATTTGGAATTGGGGAAATTGGGAATTGGGACATTAGGAATTGGGAAAATTTGGAATTGGGGAAATTGGAAATTGGGGGAATTTGGAATTGGGGAAATTGGGAATTGGGGAAATTGGGAATTGGGGAAATTGGGAATTGGGGAAATTTGGAATTGGGGAAATTTGGAATTGGGGAAATTTGGAATTGGGGAAATTTGGAATTGGGGAAATTTGGAATTGGGGAAATTTGGAATTGGGGAAATTTGGAATTGGGGAAATTTGGAATTGGGGAAATTTGGAATTGGGGAAATTTGGAATTGGGGAAATTTGGAATTGGGGAAATTTGGAATTGGGGAAATTTGGAATTGGGGAAATTTGGAATTGGGGAAATTTGGAATTGGGGAAATTTGGAATTGGGGAAATTTGGAATTGGGGAAATTTGGAATTGGGGAAATTTGGAATTGGGGAAATTTGGAATTGGGGAAATTTGGAATTGGGGAAATTTGGAATTGGGGAAATTTGGAATTGGGGAAATTTGGAATTGGGGAAATTTGGAATTCGGGAAATTGTGAATTCGGGAAATTGAGAATTGGGGAAATTAAGAATTGGGGAAATTGTGAATTCGGGAAATTGAGAATTGGGGAAATTGTGAATTGAGGAAATTGTGAATTGGAAAAATTGTGAATTCGGGAAATTTGGAATTGGGGAAATTGTGAAACGTGCGTTAAATTCTGGAGCTATTCCGTAACAGAGAATCGCCGACATCGATTCCTAAGGGGCGACGGTAATTTATGGCGTTCGAGCCTGTGACTCGTAGCAGACTCCACACAGCGATACATCATCCAACCGGGTTTTCGGGGAAAGTATCGTCCCATATCGCGGATTACCTTTGCTAGACTTGGACATTCTCGGGTAAACAGTATGTCGAGCATCGATCATTCGAAAAGAGATAAGCAGTAATTCGATTGCGGCTACTCCGCTAAACGGATCCGATAATAGCCCAATTAGCCGTTGCTAAACGCGCGGTGGTCAACGACATCGATACTCGTCGTTTTACAAAGTTGGCACCTGTTTATGGGAGGTTCATTGAGGACAACAGGAAGAAGGCTCGCCAGACTTGTTCGTACACCGTTAATCTATTTTATGAGAGAAACCGGCAGGTGCATCGCCCACGCGACTAAATTCGGACGCTGGAGTACGCGTAGGAGGTGCTTTGAATTAGATCATTTGAACCTGAATGACATTCTACGTTTACATTTTATTTCTTGCTTCTTTGCGTCGTCCTCTTTTTTCTACCGCGGAAAATCAATAGAATCGGAGTCGTAAAATTTACGCGTATGTGAGAAGAAATTAAAGTTCATAACGTGGTGTATTGCTTACTCTTTCAACCGAATTAGAGATAAAACTTTTACCTATTAACCCCTTGTGCTATTTCGCGCAAGAATTTTAGTCGATGTGATCGATTACTTCAATTTGGAGCTCTAGTATTTGTAGAGGAGACTGCTTTTTACTTTTCTTGTAAACGATTGTTTAGAACATTTTTTTGTTTTAATAGTTGAGGTGTGATTAGTTCTGACGCATGTGGGAAATGGTGGGCGGTTTGTCTATGTAGGAGGTTTATAGAGGGTTGCACCACAGAGTGCAACTATTTTAAGCAATAGTTGTGAACAATAATTGTGATGAATAATTATGATCGTAAGACAATAATTGTGGTTAATAATTGTCATCATAAAGCAATAGTTGTCATCAATAATTATGGTCAATAGTTGTGATCAATAATTATGATCAATAATTCTGATGAATAATTATGATCATAAAGTAATAGTTGTCATCAATAATTGTGACTATAAAGCAATAGTTGAGATCAATAATTCTGATCAATAATTATAATCATAGAGTAATAGTTGTCATCAATAATTGTCATCATAAAGCAATAGTTGTGATCAATAATTGTGATCAATAATTCTGATCAATGATTATAATCATGAAGTAATAGTTGTCATCAATAATTGTCATCATACAGCAACAGTTGAGATCAATAATTGTGATCAATAATTCTGATCAATAATTATAATCATAAAGTAATAGTTGTCATCAATAATTGTCATCATAAAGCAACAGTTGAGATCAATAATTATGGTCAATAATTGTGATCAATAATTATGATCATAAAGTAATAGTTGTCATCAATAATTGTCATCATAAAGCAATAGTTGAGATCAATAATTGTGATCAATAATTCTGATCAATAATTATAATCATAAAGTAATAGTTGTCATCAATAATTGTCATCAATAATTGTCATCATAAAGCAACAGTTGAGATCAATAATTATGGTCAATAATTGTGATTAATAATTATGATCATAAAGTAATAGTTGTCATCAATAATTGTCATCAATAATTGTCATCATAAAGCAATAGTTGAGATCAATAATTATGATCAATAATTATGAACATAAAGTAATAGTTGTCATCAATAATTGTCATCATAAAGCAATAATTGTTATCAATAATTGTAATCAATAATTATGATCATAAAGTAATAGTTGTCATAAATAATTGTCATCATAAAACAATAGTAGTCTTTCCTCCCACAACAATAAATGTCCCAAGTGATTTTAAAGATTTCAATCGATTAAAAGTCGTTCGAAGCCGGCGGAAAAACGACGTATGGAAGCTGCTCGAGTATTCTATTTGCACGCGATACGATCCATATACTCGGCAATGTTTCTACGTCACGTTGCCATTATCGTGAATATTGCACGGGAGGATGCGCGCGCGCGCGACCGTAATCCTTCGGAAGCGGCTCAACGTTCGCAAATCGAGCGAACGGTCGCTATAATGATAGGCTCTCGATGCTTTCGAAGATGTGGGACGCACCTTCTTTCCTCGACTTTGGTAAATACGGAATATAATGGCCGAAAAAGTCGCGTTTAAATATTTCAATCGCTACGAAACCGCATTTCGAACGATCGAATTACACTGTAAGTCATTTTCCTGTAAATACTATTATTTATAGGAATACTTTGCATAAATGATATCACTCGAATTTTGAACACGCTTGTGATAATTATTGTTTTAATTAAGAATTGAAGAACAGCTCTCCATCACCCTTTTCTCATAAGTAAACTAATAAAATAAATAAACTAATAGTGTTCGTTAATTAATAGTTCTGTGACAGAAAAGAAAGGGAAAAACTTACCTTTAATTGTGAATTTCAAAACAGTAGAAATTTGCAAACAGTAAGAAATAAAATGGAAGGCGGAAACAGAGACCCGTTGACCTAAAATATGTGCCGATAGCGCGGTAAATGCGCCGAGAAGATTCCTCGATAAACCCCGTAACGCGTATCGAACTGTGTATTTCGTGTTACTTGTATCGTAACTAATACCGCATGGGGTTGGCTGCAAATTGCGAAAAATTCCTCCTTGTCTAACCGTGCTTTTTCCCGAAGACAACAATAGCGCATCCATTAAAATTTCTTGTAATTTTAATTAATAACAGAAAACCTGTGTCGTTTCAATTACGTTCGATGTAACGAGGCGCTTGCAACGAACGAGTGTTCGGAATATCGACGTTAATTAAATCGTA